CCATAGAATTTTGCTGTATCGTTTGTTTTGTTGACGTTTTGGAATCTGACTTCGGCTACTTGTTGATCTATTCGGGAGGCACAGTATTCAAAATTCACCCAATTCGGAACAAGAGAGTGTCGGTCGAACATGGAAGGATCGAAGAGGAAATACAGGAAGTAACCCGGCAGGTCACTGGGGATTTCGGGGGAGGGGTTCTGATTCTCACATTTTTAATTCAGTCAGTTCTGTTACTGCCAGGAGTTCATGTGCCCTAGATTGTGATGTTGATGTTGAGATGTCTGATATATACTTCCGTAAGATTGTAGAGTTAGAGCAGGAGATTAGGTCAATGATGCTTAGGGAAGCAGAGCTTAGGCAACCTTGCTCAACTAAGCATGCCACGACGGAGAAACCACCGCCCATTAGACTGACGCTGGAATTGGCTCACCCACCGATTGAAGCAATGTACCGCAAAATTTCGATAGACCTGCCCAAGGTGGAGCTAACACCATTCGGCGGGAACCCCAGCGACTAGTGGAGATTTATTAGAGAATTTGATAATTTCGTCGAGTGGCGGGTCGCCGATCCAGGGTAGAAATTCCTGTATCTAAATCATTACTGCCGCGGAAATGGCCGAAACGCTATTGAAGAATGTGTAATGCTGCCAAACGAAATTGGGTATAACCGAGCAAAGGACATTGCGAAGAAACTGTTTGGCCAACCGTTTTACGTGTTACGGACCCTCATGGACGGGGTGCTAGCCGAGGCCCGTAAAGCGAGAAACCAGCCCGAATCGTTAGTTTGACTGGTAATGAAGATGCAAAACTGTTTCATTGCCTTGACTCAAATGGGCAGAGGAGGCAGTGATCATTGGCCGTTTAGGAAGGGAGCCGAACTTCACTGAGCTAATAGAACTCATCCGAAACCGTGGCAAAGTCGCCACCAGTCGCTCCGGACAACTCGCCAGCATGAGTAGGCGAGAAGAGAGACATCACACAAAAGAACGAACCCACGCGATCGCGAGAGGTTCTAGGAACGCGTATAACTATGCAACAGTAAGGGAACGTGGCACGCCCAGAGGCCCCATGTGTCGCTTGAATCACTAGCTATCTGCGCAACTAGCAGCTCCAGAACGTTGGGAAGCAGCCAAGAGACATAGTGCGTGCCTTATCTGTTTGAATGGCTTACATCGTGCGGCTGCTCATAGGAACCGTAACAGGTGTGAGGAAATGGGGTATCAAGGAAGCCACCATACTGGCTCGCATTCTACAAGGGAAATCCAGTTATCGGCACCCCAAAACCCTAGACTATGTCCACTATCTCAATCGGCGAACAAGCAGGTACGCCTCGGGGTAACACCAGTGGGTATATTAACACCCAGTGGCGTGGTGAAGGCGATGGCGTTCATCGACTACGGATCCGTTACCGCGTTAATCTCCAAACGCTTTGCCGTAAACCAGAACATCACAGCCCGATCATCTTCCCAGACGATCAACACGGTGAACGGCACCAAGGCGACGTCCGCCGATCAAGCAAACGTGACGTTGGTTTCGCTGGACAGTGTCGAACGAGTAGAGATGACGGAAGCTTTCACCATCGCCGACTTGCCGATGCGAGCGGTGGAATCGATCGGGGAATTAACAACGCGCTGGCCGCTCCTACGAGACTTGTGTTTCGAAGAAGCCGACTCTCTCGAAGTCGACTTGCTAATAGGGTGTGACGTGCCCGAAGCACACCGTTTCACGCGCCAAATTGTAAACCTTTATCAGTTTACTTCACTAACCACCGCTAACAACGATACGAACGAACAAGCTCTTTAAAGGGAGTAGGATAATAATTTCGATGACCTGAGCGACCACAAAGGGGGCCCTTCCGTAGAAAACAAGCAGGCACCTGCAATATTCGAAACAGGGAATCATTGACTCGGAGGTTGCTGATATTCGTCAGAACCTGCAACCAATGTTTACTCACGTCCGTTTTGAATATTTGTTCCAAATGGAAACAGAACCAAAGATTGCGTTTATTGAAAACGATATATTCTGAGATCTTCAGTAAGGTTGGAAGTAGATTTAGCTAGACCCAGGCTGATATTTAAGCAACGGTAGCGGAAACCTAAAAGTAGGTCTGATCAACGCAACGAAAGCGTGCAATACAGAGCTCACCGTGGGGAATTGTGTCGGTGCACGCTTTTCGAGGTCATTAAAAGAACGATGATAGCTAAAGCAAAACTTAACCCTGGAAATGTCCAGGTTGCTATATCCAATAGAGAAACTTTCCTCAGAGGATAGCTATCGCCAACTAATGGCGATACATGTTAAATCTCGACGTTACACTTGATTGTTTCTGGTGGATAAGGGTCCGAAAGGAAGAAGGGAAAAACCTAACAGTAGTTTAGTTACCTGATTGATAAGCTAAGTCGCTACTTCATTTCTGAACCTTGGTGGTTTTGATAGGTATACCATGGTTATGTACCGTGCCTTGATAGCCCTCAATTATACAGGATTGGTTAGGAACTGAACCTATCCTGCTGCTAGTCACCAGCGTAGGGTGAAAATACTTCTGGTACGTGATTTGATGATCACGTCCAGCTTGAATGGATCTATCATGAAACTTAGATAAAACAAGAGGTAAGAAGAGAAAACTGCCGTTGCGAAACTGTCGGTTGAAGAACCGCTAC